AAATTAGAGAAAGTCAAACTTAATGGCATATGATTTCTATGTTGTATGTCATCGAGCTGATGACATTATTTATTGAACGTCCCTCGTAAAGGCAAAAAGAAACACGGTGTAGTTTTCCATTCAACATAAACATAAATCGACATTTTTCTCTATTTACGTATTATTCCTTTTTCTATCCTACGCTTATTCAGAAATCGTATTAAGGCAAAACCATAGAGTACAATACCACAATACATTGTTTTATATTTAGATAATTTCACTATCTAAAGGATGTCAACGCGAACTTTAAAAAAAAAAAAAAAAAAAAAAAAAAAAGTAGTCAAATGCTATGACACTCTTTTATCGACAACGTCTCTTATTCATTAATGACAGCAACATATTCATCATCAATTAATTGCATAAATTATGGAGTTTATGTCTCCCAGTTGATTAGATATGGAAAAAAATGTTCGGTATTAAAGCAATTTCTGATACTATGCACGTTATTGACAGCTACATGTAATATGATAAAACAAGGATATCAACAATTATAACTTCCGTTGTCAAAAGTCAGCAATCTGCATTTTTTTTTTCGACACGATGAACTTGGGAAGCAATTAATACAATTAATTAAAATCGAATGTTGATTGGCGTTTTTCATACAAATCTCAAAGGTATTTAATTTTTCTCTCTGAATCGCCTTGAGACTTTTTCCGTTTACCTGTCCATGACAAGGAACTCACGTCTTCATGGCACCTAATCCCACCTCTGATATTTCAGAGGTCAGCTGTGTTCTGTTCCCGCTTTGTATTCAATGTTTCAGTCGGACCTGGAATCTGGAACAGAGCCAACACGTACAGACCTCTCAAACATTACCGATGGGATCAGGTGCTATGGAAGTGTGTGCATTCCACTGCCGATCAGTCACACCTGTCGTGTGCTCCTTGTCATGATCGGTAATTAAAAGGAAAATCGGTCGCGCATCACACCTTAGGCAAGCCGACATAGTGGGAAGTGTGTCAGTTGGCAGACAGGGAATAGAAATAATACCATCGACAAGATCGGGAACATCATCAGAAGTGCATGGAGGCAACTTAAGTGCAGAAAGAAGTGCGCAAACTAGAGGAACATACAAGAATGGAAAAGGCAGGTGTTATGATGAAGAAGGGAAGCTGGATAAACTGGCAAGGAGCCCGACAAAAGAAGTTACATGTATCTTGGAATGAAATCTGGATAACAGAGCCCCAGAGACTGCAGTCTCAGCTTAATTTGATTGATGTTGCCAACTCCAAACCAATCTGACAACACGGGGTATGAAGGAGTGCCCAAACCTCAATCTTTGTTGTTGACAATCTACCTATACTGTCTTCAAGTTCAGTAACCTTAACAGATGAAAGATGTACACTGAGACTTGACAAAGTTTTATCTGTTATTGCAGACGTGCTGGAAAAAACTAAGAAGAAATTTTGGAAGACCATGGAAGGCTTGAAGTTTGTAAACTTTGTAAAGGCTGGTGAACAGAGTCGTGCTGGGGGAGTGGAAAGAGGTGGACTGTTGGGGACCACCAGTGATTGGGAAATGCAAGCATATCTCAACAGCCGAATGAAGTTTCCACAGGAAATAGCATCTACCAATCAGAGACAAAATGTTTTTAGTCTCCTCTAGCCCGGTTTGCATTTTAGTGGAATTTATAGTGCTGGGTGATGACAGAGTTGAATAAGCCCAAGAGCGGAAAATGTATAAGTACATGTACCAGGATCTATTTGCATACTGTCAACGACTGGTATAGAGAAAATGATGATGTCTCCCAGCTGAAGTTAAATGCCGTCAATTTGTAGGGCAATCTATGCGGATGGTTGGTACAACAGACACTGAGAGACGGCAACTCTATGGACGCCTGAGTGGGCAGATAGGAAGAAATGGCATCCATGTGGATAAGGAAGAAGTGAGAAGTGCAGTGGAAAGTGCTACACGTAAAGACTCTATATATGAGCTTGTGAATGGGCATTCAATGTGTTGCAGTGAAGATGGGGTCTCAGCTGATAGGTTCCGGGCTGGGGCTTAATCGGCGTAAATTTGAACATGCTTTAAAGATAAAATCATAATAGTTTGATATAAAATAAAAACAAAATCGCATCTTACCAGTTAGATACAAGTTGTGCAGTATGCCAAAGTGACCTATAATGCAGAAATATGTTTGTTTCTTTAATTATTCAAAATGATTGATTGTTGTTTATCGTCCCCTTGAGAATATTGGACTCACATAGAGACGCCGCCACCTGTCGTTGGAGAGCTGCAAATATCGTTCTACATACACGGTTCTCACGGCGCCCATTGAGCAGAGAGGGGCCTTTTTCGTGCAAGCATCTACTGTGACACGGGACCTCGATTTACAGGGTCTTAACCGAAGGACCGGTCTCCATATCCCACAGTGGAACTCCTTACTTCGCGACTGTAGAGCAGACGTTCTTACCACTACGCCACGCGGGTGGCTACTCTTCAAAATGATTATATTCTTGACAAAATTCTGTAAAAATTCAATTCGATCAAACTCCGTACAAACTGTATTTCAATGGCTTATAAATTTGACTTGTTTACTGTTCTTGCGAACTTTCTGCAAATGTTCAATTTTCTTAAATGCATCCTGTGAATTTGTTCAGAGAAAAGCTAATTGATTATTAGCATGCATGATTCTTGCCGTTCGAGTTCCTGTAAATGTTTTGAATTCCTGCAATATTTAATTTGCCGCACGTTTTGCGACAAGATCGCATCTAGCGGTAATAATCATCATAATAAGAAATGTTTCATCTTGCGAACTTGCAGAAGACTTGGTAATACATGTGAATGCTAAATCTAACTGCCAAAGGGATACTCTTCCAAACTGATGTGTGTGCCGCATGCCTGCAGCAAGCTTTTAACTCTGTTGCAAGATTGCATCAAACAAACTTTTTCACAGGAAGAAAATTTTCTTGTTTGCAGAAGATTGCCGCTACATGTAGTTGCGATCTTGTGGCAAACATTGCAGCAATTGCTGCTAGCTTGCAGCAAATTCGCAGGAACCCAACATACACGCCATTGTAAGTTCGCAGGAAACATTTCATTTGAATGTTTGCAGGAAGTTCGCAAGAACAGTAAACAAGTCAAATCAGCCAATGAAATGCAGATTGTGGTCAACATAGAATTCGCCATTTTGAATTGAAGTTACATGTATACATATTTCAGTATTGTGCTAGGAATATACTGTTTTGAAATATTACAAAAATAATGCAAAACTCTGTGTGTAGGTGTACATTGGCATCCAAGATATCTTATTGGTAAGATATGATTTTGTTTTATTTTAATATGAAAATATTCTTAATATAGCTCATGTTTGAGTAACTGGTGTAACTGATAGTTCAAATTTTAATCTACTTATTATGAATTTCAGTCCTCATTTTAATATCAATTATTTATATTCTTCTTAAATGTATTAAAGGCCCAAAATCAACTATTATAATTATAACTTTTATATGTTTTCAAATAAATTAGTAACTGTAACATTTAATTATATATTTTTTTGTAATGTTCTTAATTAATGTCCACGTACAGGTACATAATATAGGAAAATTAAAGTATTAAGAAAAGTATGGAGACATTGTCTAGGAACATGTGAAAGAGAGTCTCTCAACACTTCAGAAACTTGCATCATTTCAGACACGTGTGGTGGATTTTCTACAGATTTAGATTAGGGTAAAAGCTTTCTGCGAGTATGTATACAGGAATGTGCTAAAAACTATAAAGAAATTGTTTGCTGCAAATTAGCAGCAATGGTTGCGCAAGCTTGCAGCAGTGTATATGCCACAAGTCTGCAGTGCTCAATGTCTGCTGCAAGCTTGCAGCAATGACTGCCTCAAGCTTGCAGTAAGGTTTCTTTTTTGGAAAATCCAGTATTTGTTGCAGACTTGTAGCAAACCCCGTTTGCATCAGGGGCGGATCCAGGAATTGAAGTGGGGGGGGGCGCAAGATATAGGCAGGGGGCTTGGGGGCCGCTTTGAGGCCCCCATGGGTCCAGGACAAAGCCCTGGTGGGGGCCCAGGGGGCGAAGCCCCCGGAAGCTCATGGATTCTAGAGGTTTTGTAGGGTAAAAATGAGGTCTAGACTGAGTAGACATTTTTAAACAATTTCTCGACAAAACTATGTTTTATGCAAACTTTGACAATTTTAAATCCGCCACTGTGTGTTGCAAGCTTGCTGCAAACTTGCCACAACTTGCTGCAAATATCAAGGCTTTGTAAAGACTATAATCCCAGAAATGTCTGCTACAAGTTTGAAGCAAATATTTGCATAAGGCAATATTTTTGGTAAGGGTATGAAGTTTGATAATTTTTTATCAGAATGAATTTTCTGTTCTTTTTAAAAATATTTTTAAAATATCAATGAACTATTTGTATCAATTTGGAAGTTCACAATCTAGTTTTAGTTCATGGTTTGAAAAACTTGCCGTCAACAACCATTTCGGAAATGAGAGATATGACTGTGAAGATTTTAAAAATATGTTTACTTTCTTTTTCAACTACGCATGCGTATGCTGGTTGCACCGGAAATGGATTGTATCGAAACGTAAACAAAAGTATTATTTGAATTATTTTAAACAATTTCTGCATTGAATATATACGGAGCATCGATTTTATCATTTTAGAATGCCTGTGCATTTTAAGGTAAGATTTATCTCATAACATTTTAGCGGAGATTGTATCATTTGGCGATTATTTGACATCATTTACGCTCCGTGCACTTGTGCAGACCCTGCAGTTAATATCAGAATGAGACTTGTTATATCAGTTCCTTACTCCAAAGACCTTTTTGTGTGAATAAATTTTATAGGTAGATAAGTTAGAAATAATGAAATAAATTACGGCCTCTTGCTGATGTTATCTGGGGCCTTTAAAAGTGTTATCTTCCCTTTGGCTGCTCCTGACCGCACAAGTGTAAACATGTCTGAACATATCCCTACAAAGCGGCAATTATTATAATTTTAATCCAAACACCAGCAAATCAATTGGAGGTGCAATCAAATTAATGAAAGATGAGGATTAAGAAATTGAATATATCTGTAAGTTTCATGTGTATTTGTACCTGTTTATAAAGAACAATCTCTTATTTTTGCCTTGTGCTGTCCTTTCAGCATGCATAGACTACTATGTCTGCACTTGGACTGAATAGAGACCTGGGATTTAAAAATAATCCATTGTTCTAATCACAGATTAGTGGTTTCAATTGTTCTGTTTTAGCACTTTGAAAGTTGTTGATTTTTAAATCTTAAAATAATTGGATTATCATGAATGCCACGATCTTTGGAAGATCAGTAATAGCCGCAATAATGCAGTCGTATTATATTTTTGGAGAGGGTCGGTTTGGGAGGGAATGAGGTGAAGGATGGGTTGGATGGTGAGGGTCAACAGTCTTCGAAATAACCTGGGTGCCCCATGCCCGGGACCTGGTAAATTTGCCAGCGGGCATGTGAAAATTCTCAAATTACATGCCCAAAGGGCATGTGTGAATTTTCTTTGATTCATGATGTTTACTTGCTATTTCTTCTGTCATACCCTAGTTATTCGTGTAAACTTGCAATGTAATGCCTTAATCTGAATTGCCAGTCTACATTTGTCATACGTTACATTATCATTACGACCTGTCAAATGATTATCAATCGTAATCATTAATTTAAAAGTTTTTGATTTAGTGACCTATTTGTTTTCTCAATGTTTCTTGCCAAATTACGATATGTTTATTGATACCACATGCAGTGGACTGCTGTCATGATGATCATGATCCTACTTATGAAATTCAATTCAGCTATAATGGCCAACAAACGGCCAGCATGCAAGTCAAAAGTTGTGAACAAAAACGCATACGAAAATGGCAGACAGGCAGGCCACGGTTGATTTAAAACTCTGGAAACAATTTAAACTAAAGATTGAGAGAATTTAAAAACAGAAAAACTGTCCTTATAGTTAATATAAAAACCTTATTTTTTGTTGCACAATCATATCTCTGCTATATGAATGAAATTTGAGTAGGGCATGTACAAATTTCAATGGGCTATGTTAAAATGACCGGTATACATGCCTGAAGGGCATGTGCTGAAAAAGAATTGTTGTGAAGACTGGGTCAACAAAAGTGATGTAAAAAAAAATTGGAGTCTGCTACAACATGAACATTATATGACTGCAGATAATATACAAGAGCAACAGATCTAGATGCTTGGTAGATTGGGGGAGGGGGGGGGGGGGCACCTATGAACTTGACCATCAAATGACCAAATGAAAATATAACATTTAAAGAATGTTAATTTTGTACTTTTTCAGTTTGATGAGTTGTGCACTTTTAAATAAATTTGATATTTTTTGGTATCAGGGTAAATCAGAATATGACAGGAATTATAAATGGTTGGACTCCTACAGGAGTAAGAGTTTCACGCCTTCCCCTGAGCAGATGGCCCCGACAGCAGGCTGCTGTTCAGTAGAACTTGGTACATTTTAATGAATAATTAGTACTTATAGTGGATGCTTTTGGATGCCTGGCATGCTTGTGTTGTAGGCTCATGGGCTATAATCATTATCAGAATGTACCAATTATCTAGCAATGGGGGTAGGCATGTATATATATCAATAAAAATATAACGTATGAGAATAATATTATTATGTAGGGCCCTACAAGTCATAGCTATGAAATGTATGATGTTGCACATGATAAATCTTGCTAGTTCTATGACTTCGTATGTAAAGAGCTTGATATATCGGAGCTTCAAAACAGGAATCAAAGGTTGGAACAAACTTGAAAAAAAAGATTATATATGTGAAAAAAAATTATTGATTCTAATCTGTCTCTTCATTTGTGAAAAAACATGTAATAAACTTTGCATATACATGTATGTGTATACATTGATCAAAGAATCTAGCATGGTTTAGCTTCATATCATGGTTATCTATTGTGATGCTCATTACTGTATCCCTTTGAATGTGTGTTATTCATGTTTTTATTTTATCTGTGTTTTTGTGAAACTGAAAATCACAAAGTTTACGAGTTTGTCATCATTGACAAGTTCATTTACATGATTTAGGCCAACTTCAATAATTATAATGTTTGTGTGCAATCTTCTAGCTCAGGATGAAAAATTTGGGTGATGTCTGTATTTTTCACAGAAAATTTTCAAATCAAAGTTGAATTTTCAAAATCTATTTTCCGGAAAGCATAAAAGATTAAGAAATTTTTTTTTCTGGGAGGTTAATTTTTTTTTTTTTTTTTTTTAAACAGTTGGTCAGAAGAAGGCAAACAAACAGTTAATTTAAAGATCATGCTGTTATCATCATGATCATATTCATTTTGCATCATATGCATGCTAGAGACTTGTAACTTATCCATTGTAGACAGAGTATAAGCAGAATTATCTGCCTGTACAATCGAGGAAAAGTGCCTCCTTCCACCCCCTCCCTCAGCAAGCTGTAGATGCGGCAGGGAGGGAGTCAACCAAGCTAGGTATTAACAGTAATAACAATCTCACTTACTGTAAAATCACATATTTTCGTTGGGACAAAATGGTTTAAGGAAAATCTCTTGGTACGTGGGGATTTGATTTCGTGGATCAGGAATTAATGAGTACTTATGTTTATAAATATGTAACATTTTACATTTCGTGGTGGACATGAATTTGAGGGTCTCTTCAAACCCCGAAAACAACGAAAATTAACCCCCCAAGAAAATTTGTGATTTCACAGTATCTACATCTTCATTTTGACCTGTTTGTCACTTTAGCTAGGTACATATAGATCTATGTATACATGTATCAGTATATTAATGATTTGTCACAAATATCAGCATGCATTGTGGCAACGCACTTTGAAAAAATTACGCACTTTGAAAAATTTTTTCAAAGTGCGTTAAATTTTGGGACCAGGTTAACGCACTTTGAAAAAATAATTTTTTTTTCAAAGTGCGTTAATATCGACCATATTAACGCACTTTGAAAAAAAAATTCTGCATGGCTTAGTCAATATTCCTACAAATCTTATGTATGATAAATTATCATTTGAACCTGATTTTATACTTTTTGTCCCCCGCTTGAAAAGTGGGAGATATTAATTTGAGTCTATCTGTCAGTCCGTCCGTCTAGCTGTCCGTCCATCTGTCTTTCTGTAACGCTTTCGTTTCCACACGATATCTCGCCAACCCTTTGAACATTTGCAATGAAATTTAACATAACAGAATCCCTGTGGCCTTAGGAAGACCCCTTTTGAATTTGGGGTCAAAAGGTCAACATTCAATGTCGTAAAGAACTACGAACGATAGTATTGTTCTTCCGCCTATCTCTTAGTCAATTCTCAAAAGTTAACATATTGGAATGATTCTAAAAAAATTTATAGATATTTATATGAATTTTCATAAAACCTTACTTATTTAGATACCAAAGAGAAATAACTCATCATCACTCATCATTTTTAAATACCTGGAGTTTAACAGAGAGATTATCAGATATGGTATCAAATTAACATCGAAAAGCCGACAGGTACTGTAGATTCCTAAATATAAGCGAGGAATTAATTTCTGCGTTATTTCACGAGAAGTATCACTCGCGAAAGAAATATTACTCGCTTTTATTTTTGTGGTGCTTAAATCTATGTAAAATCTGTTCATTAACCGTTCATTCGCGAATTATAATTCTAGCGATTTGACGTTTGAGAGCCAGTTCGCGATAAAAAAAAAAAACACTCGCGAAAAATAAGGAATTAACAGCTAGTAATTAATATTCTGATTTTCCTGAAAATGAACATAAATAGACTTTGAGATTTAAAAGAACAAAATTTCGATTTACTACAGACTTCCTCATAGAGTGCATATACTGTATTTAGAATGCTCTTTTTTTCAAATATCATTGACACTTAAGGTTACGAGTTATAGAAATAGATATATCTGGGTGGGAATGATAAAGAGTTGAGCTGATAGACCTTAATTCAGCCAGTCTTTTCTTCGTTTTCCGTTTCTTGGTTTTCTTCAATCCACCAGTTTTTAGAAAGAAACACATCAAAGTAAGGACACCGCAAAGCGGAGCATTCCTACCCAAAGAGCATGCTCAGTAAATCATTTGACATCGATCCCGATACAAATTACGTCAATTCCACACAGAAAAAACTAACATACACATAAAGTAATAACACACATAATCGCATCACTATATCCCATCATACGTTGCGAGGGGATAATACTGTTGTCTATTTCTAAAATATAAGTCTAATTCCTTTTGTTTCATGAAAATTTTTTCAAAGTGCGTTAAATGTTTACATGGTGTAAAATTATGATGTACAGTTTTAACGCACTTTGAAAAATTTTTTCAAAGTGCGTTGATTTGGTCCCAAATTCAACGGACTTTGAAAAAATTTTTCAAAGTGCGTTAACCTGGTCCCAAAACTTAACGCACTTTGAAAAATTTTTTCAAAGTGCGTAATTTTTCAAAGTGCGTTGTAACAATGCATCAATCTTTTTCATTTTGTTGTGACCAGTATATGTTACACTCATGACTGTCACAGCTTTGTGGTTTGTCTTGGCAATGCATGGTACATGTATATATGGTATTTATTTTTGAATTAAAGAAATTTGGAATTTAGCTCAAATATAGAGCAGCTAGGAAATATTTGTTTAATCATGAATAAGTTCTATCACCATAATCAGACTCATAAATACATTGTACACACTTTTTAATACTTATCAATTTTATAGATATATAAAATATATTAACAAACTAAATGTATATTATCCTATAATTCAATTTACCTGTAATTTGTACTCAGAGCAATATATTTACTAAAAGATATGAATAAAATTAAATCACAACTATCTTATCAATCTATAAATCAATTTACATTCATTTAAATGCTATTTTTTCAAAGTAATGTTTATTTCTAATTTATAGTTTCTGATTTTAACATATTTAAGAACTGAATTAATTTTTGCACTTTTAACATGTCCATGTAAATTAATGCAAGGATATACTTCTATTTCAATTGTGAGTGTTATAATGATTGCATTAGGTATAACCATGGAGCCAGCCTTACAAAGGAAGAAGCACTGCCCCGGCCCCCCTACAACCCTGAGTACTGACTTCAATCAGTTCCCGGACTCTGCATCAGATGACTTTGCCCTGCTGGGAAGAAATGATAAGTTCTCGGAGAATGTCCAATACAAATCTAAAGGCCGGCATAGTCACCAAGCCAGAGAAGCATCCCCACCCAAACAACAAAAATTACAGGTATATGTATGTGTATATTCAAAAATGTCTACACACAATTTCTTTTAAAAATTATATGTTCTGAATCTGCTGCTGCTTCTTACAGCAAAGTGTGTGGTGAAAAAATACCACACATGCTATTCATGTGTTTACTATAGATACATATTTCAAATATACGTACAAGGTTTAAAACTAGTGAAAGAATATAATGAAACACTCTTTACCCATGTCTATACCATGTATACATAGATTGAACCTAAATATTTCATTTGCACATTTAATTTGTATTATAGGAAAAGGAAAACTTGAGAAAAACTGTCAAAGAAACACCAGCCCCATTTGTGGATACCTCTAAATTCCGGCAGCGATCCAAGTTAGAGGACCAGCCCAGGAAACCGAGGGCTGAAGATCCCCCCAGCACGCCCCTGACCCCGAGGAAGGAAAAGAATGAGCACTCCAGTCTAGTGAAGGAAGTAGCCCTAAAAGACAAAGAGGCAGCATTGAGAGAAAAATTCATCAAACTAGACAAAGAAGCTGAGAGGAAGAAGCCACGTAGTCAGCTTAAAGAGACCAGGAAGGACTTCAGTAAAACTATTGACCAGAACAAGATGGAGTCGGCCGTGAAGGCCTGGGCTAAGGACAAAGATGTGGGGGCCATGAATGAGTTTGCTCAGACAAACCTTGATAAAGGGGTTGGTTATTCTGCACCAGAAGCTCCGGTATGTGTTCTTATAAGGTTTAAACTGATTGCAAGGTTTTAAAATGTAAAGATCGAATGTCCTTGAAAGATTTTTTAAGCATTTCATTCTCAAAAGATATGAAATAATATTATTGTAATGAATAAAATTTTCAAATTGAAACAAAATGAAAAAAAAAAAAAATCTGCAATGTCAAGGGATTAATGCCACTTAAAGAGTCTAGTTGTTTCAAGCCTTGCTTTATGAATTATTGTTAATGAGTTTTATTTCACTTTTACAGATTTTTACTATATTTTTATCCATTTAAGGCCGATTACTCACTGAGGTACAAAACAGGAGTTACAGTCCCCCGACAACGTCGACACAAATTCTCGGAGTACCAGAAGGCCTTCAGCTGGAAGGACGGGTCTAAAGCTTCACCAGTGCTGGCTGCTGAACAGGTACAGCTGTACTAAAAACTTTGTTTTTATGTATGATTCAATATTGCTGTGTTTTGTACACCTAGAAAGCCATGCAACTCATATGCAACCAAATAAAATATTCAATATATATGTTTTAACCATCTTCAGTTAATAACAATTAATTTGCAATATTGATTTATTAACAGAATTTTACCCTGATTTTTTTTTCTGAATGATGTGTCATTCTTTGCATTTGATCCAAGCCATGCACTTTAGATCAGTAGAATTACATATAAGAACGAAAAAAAAGAAAGAAAACAATTTCAACTTTGCGGACATATTCTGCCTGTCGAATATGTGTATAGATGCTTATATTTTTTCGTCCAAGCTTTTATACTTAACTTCTGATAGTGTAGCAAAGTGAAATTTATTTTAAAGAATGATCAATTTTTCCGACTCAAATTTTGATTACTATGTTTGTATTTTGCTTCTTTAGGCGGTTGTAGCATCTGAGAGTAAAAATAAGGTGGTGTATTTATTATGTTCTTAAAGCCATAATGTTCTGCATGATTTAATTGCCTTAGACATGTTTATAAACCTGCATGCATATTCTATATTCAGACTTATATTGTAAATTTATCATATCTAATGATTTAGTACATGTGTAATAATATCTTAATATCTTTAGCAAGTTTACTAACACATGTTTATGCATGTACGTCATATATTTATACTTCATAGTACTGTTTTAGTTTAAACTAGACTCCTGATATTCAAGTATTTCTTGATCTTGATCAATGTACAATGTATAACCATGGCAGAATTGTATTACAGAAATGTATATTATATGAATATATTTCATTTCCCTCAAATGCAAATGTTTAGTTATTTTGTGAACAGTACATATATATTAGGCAGTATTAAACTTGGTTTGTCATACATTCTAAATCAATTAATTAATAAGACTCTAGATAATTAATATGTAAAAAGAATAACAAATTACTTAATATCTTTAAATTAATGCAAACTCAAATAGAAACTTTTTTCACAATTTAAATATAATTCAGCCTAGCTAGATAAATTTTACAAGTCCTCCCTTGCTTGGCTATTATATAATTTTTACAAGCCCTCCCTTGTTTACCTATGATAATTATAAATTCTTGCCTCACACAGGTTGTATACAACAGTAATCCTGCGCTGATCCCTCCTAAGAAGACCTTTGTCAAGGACAGCGAGTACGCGGCTCAGTTCAAAGAGTACAACAGTGTACCTGTCAGCAGCGATGACCTCAAGGCCATCCCAAGGACAGAGAAACAAAGGTCAAAGGTAAAAAAAAAAGAACAAAGTTATGTTTTATAATAAACAATTTAATATTCATGAAATTTTTAAAGTTAACATTACACTGCACAAATATTACATGTAAATATTTAAACAGATGCAGCAAGAGATATACACTCAACAAAATAAGTTAAGGGCCAACTTGAGAATTTTATTTTTTGTAACATATATTGTAAAGGTAGTGGAAACAAATAACATTTTAAAAGTAAACAATTATAAATCTCTTATAATAAACAAATGAACAACATGTTACAACATGTAACTGTCAAAACAACAAGAATATTCATCAATACAGGATTTCATGAGGAAACAACAGTCGTAATTTCAGGGTTTTGATTAACCTGGAAAGTCCAAACGTTACTTTCAGTATCTTGTGTGACCACCTCTAGCCCGAATTACTTCCCTACATCGATTTGGAAAACTGTTGATCAAATTTCGGAAGTTATCCTGTGGAATTCTTGACCAATCCTCAACAAGAGCAAATTCAAGTTCACGGAGCGTGCTTGGTTGGTTTTGCCTTCCTAAAATTTGCTTCTGGAGGATGTCCCATGCATGCTCTATTGGATTCAGGTCAGGTGATTTTGCTGGCCAATCCATCCTTTCGATTGTTTCTTCTTCCAAGTACTGATTTACCACTCTCGCACGATGAGGCCTGGCATTGTCATCCATCAATATGAAATCTTCACCGATGGCACCAGCGTAAGGCCTAACAATTGGTGCAAGGATCTCATCCCTGTAACGGACACCTGTTAGCGATCCATTCCTTATGACATTAAGGTCTGTGGAGCCATCGTAACTGATACCTGCCCAAACCATAATTGATCCACAACCAAACCGGTCATGTTCAGTGATGCAGCAGTCCTTAAACCTCTCGTTTTTCTTCCTCCATACTCGTCTGCGACCATCATTAAAATCCAGACAAAATCTGGATTCATCAGTCCATAACACTCCTTGGATATGATGATGGTCCCAGTTGATATGGTCTTGAGCAAACTGGAGGCGACGGTTGCGATGTTCTACGGTCAAAGGTGGGCGCACAGCAGGTCTTCTGGCATGTAATCCCGCATCATGCAGTCTGTTTCTCAAGGTTTGTGTTGAAATCCTTATACCTGTTGCTGCAGATAGCTCTCTGTTCAAAGCAACAGCTGAAGACATTCGATTTCTCTTTGCAAGTAGGGATATTTGTCTATCTTGTCTAACAGTTGTACTTTTTGGACGACCACTCTTAGGTCTCGGTTTGACGCTATTAGTCTCTTCGTATCGTTCCAACAAACGTCCTATAACAGAATGACTTACACCAAATTGCGCTCCAACATGACGCTGTGAACATCCAGCTTGAAGCATTCCAATGGCCCTTGCGGCTTCCTCTACTGTCAGATGCCTTCTTTGAGGCATGAAAACGTGTCAAATGGCAAAAAGCAACAAATATTGTACAGATAATCGAATCTTGTTCCTTTTGAGGTTGTCAATGAGTATACAATACAGCCAATATCACAGAAATGTGGATAAAGCAAAACGTTCAATTGGCAAAAATCACAAGAATGGAGCACAAATCAAGAGTGTGTTCGAATAACAATCCATGAAAATGTATGGAAACCCAGATAAAACAAAAAAGTGCAACAAAAAATAGTTATAGATTTTAAAACTTTCAAAAAAGTAAGTGGCCCTTAACTTTTTTTGTTGAGTATATTATACTTATGAGCAAAATTTGTGTAACCACAATATTTTATGTTTAGACATTTCTTTGATTAGTTTTACATATTTATACTTTGATTTCTTTCTGATATTTATTTTATTAAATTTCTGTATTTTTTTTTAGGTCAGAAGAAGTAAAAGCACTGGATGTATGTATACACAAGATTGTTTCTGTAAATTTTATAAAACCAGAAGTTTCAAAGAGGCAAAGTGTATTATGATAACATTCAGCAAAAAGGGCTATCCAACAGAATTTCATAAAATTAGCTTTTTAAAAAAATGGATGTAAATGATATATTGGAAAGGAGTTGTGTAGCCTGGACCTTGAAATCTAATTTTAGCACTGCGGGTGGACAAGAGACCCCCTGCTGGTAGTAGTCCAGTTATTTCCCCTGACAACAAAAGACAGACCATCGAATCTGAGCTACAGGGTGAACCAAAAGAGGTTCCTAGTCCTCTACCACTTAACCAAGGAAAACTCAAGTAAGTCTGGAATATCTCATTGTCTTCTTGACAAAGATCACTAGATCACAACTATTACACCTCTGTAAAATAAGATCTAACTTGGAAATGCTGAAAATATGAAAAAAATTATATTTGAATAAGAATCAGAGAATGTTGGTTGTTATGTATTAATTTAATCAAATAAATATGTCATTAGAATTCATGATAAGAAAAATATAAAAGAAGGAAATAATTTTCAAGATTTTGGTAGAAATAATCATGTTTTTTTTTTTTTAGCTCTTCTGAGCCAAAGGCTCAAAGAGCTAATGCTATGGCCATTTGTGCGGTGTGTGGTGTGTGTAAACTTTTTAGAGTTTGGGCCATAACTCAAGAACCCCTTGACCAATCAGTACCAAATTTGTCACAGGGTATCCTTGGCCCAAGGGCTACCATTTATACTAAAATAAGGGTTGGGACCCTTAAACAAGGGGAGATAATCAGGAAAACAAAACCAAAAGTACTGGTTGCTAAAAAATCTTCTTCTCCATAACCACCAGGCAGATTTTCACCAAACTTACATACAAGGATCAGGATATGTCGAAGATTAAAATTTGCATGGGTAATTACCCTGGGGCAAAGGGTGTGGTCTCAAGGTCACTTCAAAGTTGACCTAAATTTACATTAAATAAAAACGTGTATATTTTGCTTACTATAAGGACTAGGATCATCAAATCTTGTAAGTTGATGCATCTTATGACTTCACATCATGTTAACTCAAAAGTAGGTCACGGTGACCTACTTTTTAAATTTTGCGGGGATTTGTTTTCAAATTGATTTGAAGGCATATTTTGGACACTTTAAGGCCTATGATCATCAAACTTTGTCAGTTGATGCATCTTGGGTTTTCGAACAATGTCAACTTAAAATTAGGTCATCGTGACCTTTTTTTTTGAACTTTATGACATATCTTTTTAAGAAAATTAAATCCCATTATTTCAGACACTGGGAGATTTAGAATCATCAAATCTTGTACTTTGTTGCATCTTGGGACCTTAAAACATATTTATGAAAAAGTAGGTCACTGTGACCTACTTTTTGAATTTTGCCAAAATTTGTTTTCAAATTGTTTAAAATATTTTGATTACCTTCAGACCTACGATCATCAAACTTGGTCAGTAGATGCATCTTGGGTCTTTGAAAAATGTCGACCAAAATGTAGGTCACGATGACCTACTTTTGACATTTTATGGCTATATTCAAGTATCTTAGGTATTTATTGGCTTAGAATCATCAAACTTTGTGAGTCGATGCATATTTGGTTTTCGGAGAGTGATGACCAAAAAGTAGGTCACGGTGACCTACTTTTGACATTTTATGGCTTTGATTAAGTATCCCCGGTACTTATAGGCTTAGAATCATCAAACTTTGTGAGTCGATGCATATTTGGTTTTCGGAGAGTGATGACCAAAAAGTAGGTCACGGTGACCTACTTTTGACATTTTATTGCTTTATTTAAGTATCTCCGGTACTTATAGGCTTGGAATCATCAATCTTTGTAAGTTGATGCATCTTGGGTTTTCGGAGAGTGACGACCAAGAAGTAGGTCATGGTGACATACTTTTGACATTTTGTGGCTATAATTAAGTATCTCTGGTACTTATTGACCTAAAATCGTCAAACTTTGTCAGTTGATGTATCTTGGGTTTTCGGAGATTGTCGACCAAAAAGTAGGTCACAGTGACATACTTTTGACATTTTATGGCTATATTTAAATATCCCAGGCACTTATTGGCTAAGAATCATCAAACTTTGTCAGTTGAGGCATCTTGGGTTTTCGGAGAATGTCGAATAAAAAGTAGGTCACGGTGACGTACTTTTGAATATCTCAGGTACGTATTAGCTTAGAATCATCACACTTTGTCAGTTTAGGCACCTTGGGTTTTCAGAGAACATCGACCAAAAAGTAGGTCACTGTGACCTACTTTTGACATTTTATGGCTATATTTAAGTATCCCAGGCACTTATTGGCTAAGAATCATCAAACTTTGTCAGTTGAGGCATCTTGGGTTGTCGGAGAATGTCGAATAAAAAGTAGGTCACGGTGACCTACTTTTGAATATCTCAGGTACTTATTGGCTTAGAATCATCAAATTTTGTCAGTTTAGGCATCTTG